ACAACAAAAAAGCCAACACATTGCAAACCTGTTTAAAATCTGCTTCTTTTTGCTTTACTTGGGGTGTGAGCTTACAGTCATCTCAGGACTTTGAGGCTCTGTAGAGCAGTGAAACCTGTGGCAAGCTGAGTGCTCTGCTTCTCCTCTGCCCTTTGCTATTAATCTGCGACGATTGGAAGCAGGTGACTGCACACTTGACTGCTTGTGTCCTGTGGTACAGCTGCTATGCAGAAAGCAGCACATGTAAACATTTGCATGATTCGTGCCTCCTAAGAGTCTCTGCGGGCTGCACGTGGCATTTAGGCAGCACTTTCACAGCCCCCTTTGTGCATGGTATTGCTCTACTGTATTAGCACACAGTTAAGCTGGAGGGATCCACTAAAATGGCTGGAGATACCCTCCCACGTTTGGTAAGATCCATGATTTATTTCAAGACTTTTGTTAATTATCTTAGATGAATTTCAAAACATAACTTCTGAAGGATTTTGCCCAGTTTGTGGTAAACACTTTACACTGTATAAGAATCTCAATTTATTATCTCCCAGCTTACAGGGAAAAAAACCCACAAAGAATACCTCAGCAACCTAATAAATTGCTTTCTGTACAAACTGGGTTCCCTCTACACCAGACTGGTTAAAAAAGGCATCTGATCACTTATTATACAGCAACTGAAAATGTTTGCAGTGTTCTAACTCCTTCTGCCTAAAAATTAAAGAAAGGAATACACAAAGGTCATGTAGATGTTGAACTGCAAGACCAGAACGTATTTAAGCTGCAAATACTGACTTGGGTTTTACCTGGCTATTTTGAAATATAATTTCACCCTGACAGTAAACAGTTTTCAAACTTCGGTGTCTGGTATTAAAATCTAAAGATCCTACAAACAACCAGCCTCACTGCAGTAGATAGTGTGAAGGTTGAAGCAGTTAAGAAACAAGGAGGAAAGCAATGAGAAAGGCCATTTCAAAACCATAGTACTTAAACCCCATTAATTTATGATTGCTTCTGTACTATCTGTGCTATCATCACACCATATAATCCTTGCAGCACATACAAACAAGAAATCCACCTAAGAGTGGTCATGTATGCAGTGTCGCTATTAGCAAACATGTCATTAACAAACCTAATTAGGATGTGTATGTCATGTAAGTGTTAGCATTTAATACGAGTATCTGAGCTATATAATACGAATATCTGGGCTATAGAAAAGTGTTTCTCCAAACACCAAAGTGATTATAACAGAAATAGAACATGTTTTTAAACTAAAAGCAACCAGACAATCAATAGAACAATTAAACTGTAGGAAACATGGATTGTTGTTTTTAATTAACATTCGTAATACTACGATGAGCACTTCTCAGATTTTCTTCCAAAAAAAAAATCTTGCTTTAACACGAATCAATAATCACTGCTCCTGTGGATCAAAATAGAAGTCATGACATATTTCCAACTCTAGGGGCATCAGCAGCTGTTGCTATACGGCAAAAGAGCTCAAGTGTTATAAACATATACGTAGACTGCCGTCTTGATTTTTCTGTAAAACCAGATGTCAGTAATCCAACAAGATGTAACCAAATAATCGTGAAAAATTTCTATTTCACCACGCTTGTTATGAAATACCTCCATTATAACTGGGGGAAAAAAAGCACTGTCAGTTTATAAAACAACACAGATGTAAGTTATGGTTATTTTCAGGGTGTTTTCCAGCTATATTTGGATATCTCCGTACATCTGCTGGCTTTGTCTGTCGATGCCCGATTTGCCTTTGACCGACTCTCGGCTCAGCACTGCAGGACTGTGCTAACGAGCCGGCCGTGTCTGACACGCGAACTGCAGCATTCCCACAGCAAAAGCACTTCGCTACGGCGTTTGTCTCTTCCATCCAGCCAAGACAATGGAAAGCCGAAGGGCAGGCAGGACATGGGGCTGGAACCCCCTTCGGGGGGCACCTTCCGCACCCCACTCCCGCTGGCATTTCCCGAGTATCTGGATTCTTTCCCACCGCCCAAAATGACAGGGGAGGGGGGGTAAGGAAACAGAGCGACAACAACGAAACCAACCACCGGGCTTCTTCCAGCCCTACAGACAAAACAAACAAAAAAGAAATGCACTGATAAGCCGTTTACCTCGTTCCGGCTTCATCTTCCCCGCCGCCTCAGCGAGGTCTGACAGGGCCGAGGTGCTGCGCCGCGGAGCCGGGCTGCGGCTGCCCGGGCCAGCGGTGTCACCGGGAGCGGGCACGGCCGGCGGGAGGCGGCCCCGCCAAAAAGAAATGCACTGATAAGCCGTTTACCTCGTTCCGGCTTCATCTTCCCCGCCGCCTCAGCGAGGTCTGACAGGGCCGAGGTGCTGCGCCGCGGAGCCGGGCTGCGGCTGCCCGGGCCAGCGGTGTCACCGGGAGCGGGCACGGCCGGCGGGCGGCGGCCGGCCGGGGGAGGCTGCGCGCCGGCGGCCTCTGCCCGCGCCCGGCCAGGGTGTCCTTCCGTGACACGGCGCCGCGCGGGGCTATTTATAACCTGCCGGGGAAAAAAATCCCACAACAACAGACCTCGGCTCACCCCCGGCCGCGCCGGCTCTGAGTCACCGCGGCCCCGGGCGACGGCAGCCCCTGCCGGAGTCCCCTCCCTCCTGCCCGCCTGCCTGCCCCGGGGAAGGCAGCGAGCGGGGGACTGCGCCGCACCTTCATGCCCGGCCCCGCCGCTGCCGCCCGGGCTGCCGGGCCGTGCCCCCGCGATGCGCCCCGGTCACACAGGCCGCCCCGCCCGCCCAGCGCTGCTCTCCATGGCTCTGCCTCCGGCCCTGCCTCCTCCTCCTCCTCGCCGCTGACTAACTCCCCTCCTCTCCGCCGGGCACTCCCCGCCTCCCGCCGAGCGGGGCACACACATCACAGCCCGGCGGCGGGCAGGACAGAGCGAGCCGGGGCAGCGCAGCTCGGCCGGGGGTCCCCGCCACGCTCGGCCGCCCCCGGCCCACAGCCGCCCCACGTGCCGCGCGGCGGCCAATGCCCCGCGCCGCCGCCCGCCGTCGAGCAGCTCGGTTGTCACAGCAACAGAGCGCGGCACGGCTCGGCACGGTCCGGGCCCGCCCGGGAGCGCGGTCCCCGCTGCCCGGGGACACCGGTGCCCTGCACTGCAAACGGCGCCGCTGGGTGTATGGGTCTGCGCGAACGGCACCGTCCCTTCGCCCCAACCCCTCTCCTCCCCCCCGGGTACTTTGGCAGCCAGGCTCCCGCCCCGGGCAGGAGCGGCCCCTCGCTCACTCACCCGGCTCTGACGGGGGCTGGCGCGCCCCTCACCGCGCCTTTCCCGCGGTGCCGGCAGCCGCTGCCCGGCCCGCCTTCCCTCTGCCCCGCACACGGGTCTCCCTCGCTGGCCCCGCGTGTGCCCGCAGCGAGCCCGCCGGGGTTTAAATGCACGTGTGTACGGGCGGCAGCTGCAGGTGCGAAGTGCCCGCGGGGCGGCAAGCGGAGCCCCCGCCCGCTCGGCCCGCGCTGCGGGGCGGGGAGAGCGCTCGCTCCGGCCCTGCCCCGGGGCAGCGCTGCCCGCGCCGCCCTGCCCGCCAGCGCCGGGCTCGGCGCTCGCTTCACGCCGATAACAGCGCTGTGCGAGGAACAATGGAGTCAGCTGGGCTGCGGTTACACAACCGCCTTAATCCAGCAGAAATTCAGGTTTCACTGAAAGGGACGGGCCGGCGCCATCCCTCACGTCGGGCTTGTCTAGTAAAGCAGGTCAGGACCGGGGCTGCCGAGTGCGGACCCCCTTCCAGGCCGGGCCCCGAGCCCCCCATCGCTGCAGACGAGCTGCTAAATGCACCACAGAGAACGGGGAAACAAACTGCCCTAGTGATGGGGATCCCCCTTTCACCAGGGGCACAGATCTAGGCCGGCTAAAGTGACTTCTAGAGAGCAGAAAGAACTTGAAAGGGGAAGCTGTACTGCAGAGGAGCTGGAATGTCAATGTACAGCTCACCTGGAAACTGCACCGCAGCCAGGGCAGGCCCCGTGGACAGCTCTGTTAGAAAGACATGAGAGAATAATACAGTGTTTGTGGTGCTTTTAGATGGTCCCATAGGTGGGATGTACATAGACACTGCCACATCCCCACTGAGGTTGTTTACAAACACCCCATCTTACAGCCTGAGCCCTACGGGAGGCACTCACTCCCTACAACAAGGTGAATTATACATACTCGAGTCTTCTGACTCCTGTGCAAGGCCTAGCCAGTTCCCGATTCTTTCTGGTGTGCCAGGATCCCTGCAGATGTGTGTACATCTGGGCTCTGCATAGCCACTCTTTTCTCACAGCTAGCTGAGCATCCACTGGAGGCATTGCAAAGAGTGTAAAGTTCCAGAACAACTCAGTTCTGCCCTGTTTGGTTTGTATGAACTGCACCTATTTCCCGCTCTCATTTATCAGCTGTGTATCATTACACTGGGAGGGTGCTTCACAGAATAAACTGTGCAGTAAACACCTCTCAGTTCAGTCATGGGCAAGTGGGAGGTGCAGTGCTTTGATTTACACTCGTGAGTACATGAGTGTCACTTCTGTTGCTGTGTGACAGCTGTGGACGTGTTTGGTAATTACAGATCTCGGAGCTCCCTGCCGGATGCAATGTAATTGCACATGTGGCAATCCAGCATTATAAAAGGAAGAATTTGACTGAGCAATAAATTCTGTGGGTGCATGTAGATGAAGTTCAGCGTGACTACAGTGGGCATGATTCAGCCACCTGTCAGATCCTCCTCATCATCCTAATGAAAAGTCACATCCTTTAGGACACTAATTGTTGCTGTAGGACACTGCAAATTAGTTTGTACCTCGTTCTAATATTGGTTTTACAGCCAAAACCAAATCTGCCTTTCTACTATTTAATTACAATTGTAGCTATTTAGCCATTAAGCTTCACATACTATTTTTTAATAGTTTAAAAAGTTTTAATCTCACTTTGGTGCTTTTTATAAAAGAGCTCATCAGGCACAAATGGACCCCACTTCCAGGAAAATGCTATCTCAAAACACTTTTTCCATTTTAATTTATGAGCCAGCCAGCTTCCCATTACCTTGTAGTTCTTAGGAGTTCAAGCCAAGGGAAATTAATTGCCAGCCTAAAAACCAGTTATAATTTAAAAAAAATTTAGGCATATGATGAGAGAAAGCCACATCTGGTGTGCAGTCCTGCTCTATGTGACCATGTAGGAGACTTCAGGTTCAGCTTCCACTCCTGAGTCAGTGCATTCCTGGACCCTGAGAGCCATGGGCATGTCTGAGATACATCCTTCAGGTCCTGCTTCCCTTCAGATGAAGGACTTTTCCCTTTTGACCACATAGACACATAATTGATCTGAAAAAAAGCAGAACACAAAATTATTCTAGAGATCTAATTATACAATATTCCACATATAATAATAAAAGCAAAATAATGATAAAAATCCCAAACAAATTTGTGGACTTAGTTTGGGTAAAATAGCTAAAAATGTCCTTGAACTCATAATTTTTCTCCCAGTCACAAAAAAAAATATAAATACTGCATGAATATACAGAGAAAATATGGGATAAGGGGCTTCCACCACGGGAATTTGCTTACACACACTTGGAGATCTAATGAGAGCAATGACAATACTGAAATGAATCTCTGACCTCAGATGCTTAACATCAACTTAAATATCCAAAAAGCACATGGTTGCATTACACATCACACAAAAGCAGGATTAGCTTAGAAACACAAACAGAACTTTAACTGCCCTCCCACTGCCAAGTCTAGACCAACACATACTTCTGGGAGCACAAGCAGGGACAAACCAGGTTTCTTATCCATTTCTGTCTCATGGCAGCTTAACCTCACTGTCTGAACAGGTGAGAGCTCAGGCTGTAGCCTCTGTGAGGACAAAGTGGCTCTGGCACAATCAGTGCATGAATTTTGGTGGCAGCCCCTTTCCTGGTGGAAACCTTAACAGGGCCACCCTATCTCCTTTTCCTGAAATGTGCCAGACCTTTATTTCTCTTGTGAGCAGTAACCACATGTGAAACTTGTCTCAAATGAGCCACTGGATTTTAAAATATCCTCACTTGGGGCAGCATGACACAGTGGTGTCTCATGAGTCTTGTTCATATAGAAATTAAGTTTAAAAAGAAACCAAAAAAACAAGATAAATGTATGGCTGTGTTTTTCTTCAGCACTGTAGACTATTGGCACAGTCCCTGCAACCTGAAACAGAGTGTATTTTAGGTTCCATCCCAAGTGTCTTTTCAGCTTTAGCTGTCAAAGAAGTGATGTCTGAAGCAGCAGACCAAGATTCCTGTGATTCCTGGACACAATTACTGCCTGCTAAATGATGTGGCACAACTGCTTTTGACATGGCTGCCACCTATGTGGTGTTATGGCACTGCAGTTGGGAGAATATTGCAAAAGGAGGAAGACAATCAGGAATTGACTGGAAGGTACAGAATGCAACAAATTTGAAATGTGCTAAAAAAAAAACACTACAAAGAACCAACTATCATTTAATTGTCACCAGTAGTAACTGGTGCAAAGAAATCAGTTATGTATTTAGAGGAATTTATGAATTCACAACAACTAATAGATTCCTACAAGCTGTTACTGAAACTGAATTATAAACCCTTATCTTACACAGATAAGGAGATCTAGTTGAATGGAAAAGAGTTTGTTATTATTCTTTCTCAAGATACCTATAAGCCCAATAGCAAGGACAGACTGAGGCAACGGTCCTCTGTGTCTGCCTACCTTTGTGCTACACTGTTGGCTTCACCACTTAGGAGTAAATATTTTAGCCTAAATGATCTTGGTTTAACAGCTTAAGTATTTTTGTAGCATCAACCCAATAAGATTTAAAAATACATTAGAAACACTGTTGGCTTCACCACTTAGGAGTAAATATTTTAGCCTAAATGATCTTGATTTAACAGCTTGATTTAATTTTTTAATAGCATCAACCCAATAAGATTTAAAAACACATTAAAAAAAGCCACACTGCATTTCCCATCCTTACAGCTTTCAGGTAACCTGGCTCATTATGTCTTGCCAAGATCCATGAGTGTCATTAGTCAGTGTTTTCAGAGCTCCTCACCTTGATAAAAATACATTAGAAACAGCCACACTGCATTTCCCATCCTTACAGCTTTCTGGCTCATTATGTCGTGCCAAGATCCATGAGTGTCATTAGGCAGTGTTTTCAGAGCTCCTCACCTGGAGCTTTATTCCACACTGGTCTGGGAGGCAGAAGGACCTTGTAGGTGGGTGCTGCAGAGGAGGTTTTGTTCTGTATCTGTCCCCAGTGCAGAAGTTCTTCCACAAAGCTACTCCCCAGCATCCTTTGGAATGGGAACAGCCCTGAGGCCTCTGTTACATTTGTGGCTTGCCTCAGGATCTAAGAGAGGAAATTGTATTTTTCTAATCTTTTTGTTTTGAGTCCCCAGACACACTCACACAATAATGTCTGTCAGGATGGAATATACTCATGTTCTAGAGTACCACATGATGAGAGCTCTGTGCTCTGGGTACAGGCTGATAAGAGTTATACTTTAGGAGGGGAAGTTCAAACCTTCAACCCAGGATGTCCAATATGCCTGTAACAATACCAGACATTTAAATAAAACAGCCTAATTTTTAAAGTAAAACTCACCTCCAGCTCCAATTGACTTCAGCAGAATTTGTCCCTCCTGCAGTGTTTTTAAAAACCAGTCCACCTCTTCTCAAGTTCCTAATTATGGAATTAGCCACCTAATTTTAGATACTTATTTCTGAAACTGTTGACCCATGGGCTTGATGGTCCTCGTGTTGCATCAGCTCTCCCTGGTGCAAATGCATCAATTAAAGCACTGGAGGTACTTCTACAGGAAGCCTGTTCCGTGTCTGGAAAATCAGGATTTGTGATGGAGTAGGAGCATCAATATTTTCGTTTTCTTTCTTAGAAATATAGAAATTGTGGTCACAGTGTTAAATATTTTGAAGAGTGAACAAACATAGAAAGCATAAACCAACCGGTGCTCTACTGTTAGACCCTGTTGTTTTCTAACTTACAGGGATTTTCCTTTCCATGCAGTTCCTACCAAAGCCCTCCATTGCTTACTCTCATTACTAATTGTCCCTTTCAAAGCAAAAACACATAGCTATTAACATGTTCTCACCTGCTAAATTCACTTTTTGAAATCAAATGTAAAGTGACATCTCGTGTTTTTTGTTTTCCTCTGCGTGTTCTCTCGAATTCCTTTATGTTCCAAGTAGTACTTTCTCACTGGAGACACAGCCAAGACTAAATTGTGGAGGAACTAGGAGAACAATAGAGAAATAATTGCACTCCTCTCAGAAGGAAAGCTTATTCTCCTCACCAGAAATGATTTCCTGGACTCAACACTTTGCCACTAAACTTTGTTTACATACAGAAGATTCCTTTTGTTGGAAACAACCTGGTCCGTGTCCTGTGCTGCTCCTCAAGTTTCCCATGTCACATGGGACGCCCTGTGCCTTCTTTACTCTCCTGGCAGCAGCAGCAGCAGCAGCTTAGCACCTCTCAGGATGGAATCTCCTCTTCTGCCAGCTTCCAGAGGCTGAGGTCTAGCAGTCAGTCAGTCCTTCCTGCCAACAGAAACCGAGCCCTTCCTGCATGTCTTGGGAAAAGTAACTTGCATAATCTCTTCTCTATTTGGAGCAACTCCTGAACTGATACTTCATGAGCTTTGCGTGCTTCTTTAGCAGCTGATCTGTGATGTGTAATTAGATACCAGCTCCAAATGAGAACAGTGCAGTCTCATCTGAAGTGGTGACTGGTAGCAATGGAAATATAGAAATAGGATGGTAAAAACAAAGAAAGGTTCTGTTTTACAAAAATACTAATGACCTGTTCTTTTTAAATGCCAATCTAAGCCGACACCTACTCAGTAAGATCGTTAAGTTTAATTGCATCAGCACTTGACTAATCAGACAATAATGCACTGCAAAGTAAATGATTGACTTGTGAATCACTCATCAATCTCTGAAAGAGGGGGAAATTATTCTCTTTTACATAGAAGATCTTTTCTGTGGCTGTAATATTCATTCTAGACTGAAAGCAGGTCTTTGAAATATTTTTTCAATGTTTTTTCAAGGGGATTGTGCAAGTCCACTGATGAATACTAATGTTACACAATGTTTACCTAGGACTAAGCTTGATGGAAATATTAATCAGAAAACATATAGATTTCCATATTAAAGTTGAAGTTTTTGTGTCAACAGCAGGCCCGGACCAGAAGCTGGAGATGTATGTTTGCCAAGAGAAACAGCAAAATATTGCCAGCAGTAGGTTTGGGGGAAATCGAAGCACAAGAACTGTTTTCAGTCTAGGTCATCTCTCTCCTCTCATCACTGTGTTTATTTCTGAGCAGGTACATCCGAGAGCTGTACCCCAATTACTCAGTGCAGTGATCCAGGAATCCAGGCACCCCATTTGCATTATTTTCATTAATTTCAGTGGAAAGTGAGTGCATAACACTTGGAAGGAGGTGATTGGAGTTTTGCAATGCTGTTTTCCTATTGTTAATGAGTTGATCTATCTTGCAATAATTTCCAACGTGTGGAAGTAATTGCACCAAATTAATTGCTGGTGCAACTCCATCTGTTAGGAGTTCATAAAGTTCAGCTTCTGGTGCCTCTGCCAGCCCTGTTTACTTTCCCTCTCCTGCTGCAGCAGCAGGGTCATGGCTGTGCACTGCACCAGTTTGGTGGCACATCCCAGCCAGCTCCTGCCCCTAGGCAGCTCCCTCACTCACAGCAGGACTCAGCCTCAGCCCTTGCCCTCTTGTGCCTCCCCTGCTACCAGAGCTTGTACCAAAGTGTTGCTTACCGAGTTTCCACAGCTCTCGGCAGAGCTGCCATTCCAGTCAGCCTGTCAGGATTGCCATTTTCAGGCAGGGCTCATCCTCTGTCACATTAGTACCCATTTTGTAGGGCAGGCCAGCAGTGAGGCAGAGCCAGCATCCCTCCGAAGGGCCAGCTTGTCATACATCTCACCCTGCAGCAAAGCTGTGGCACTGGGGACAAAAATGACACAGTGAGCACGTGCACAACATGTTGAAGGATTGCCACGGCTACACTGATGTGTTGAAGTGACACACAACTTTCCATGGGTGCTGTAATGAAAAGGATAATTCATTTATGCAGAGAAGCAATTACCTTGCTGGAACAACAAGTCCAACCTATAGTTCCACCCAAGCTAAATTAAGGCCACAAGCCCTACTAGACTTATGAGAGTAGGGCAGGAAAGTAGCACGTTGTTAAATACAAGGCAATATTTAATGTAACCCCATGCCAGGTTTACAAGAGAAGCCATGTATCATTTACTAAAGCAGTCAGTGGGTTGGGGCTTATTAGGCAAATGTCAGAGCAATGGAAAATTGCCATGGCCTCCTTCTAAAAATTTTAATCATGTCATTATTAGCCATAGTCCATCTAATATATTCATGGCCATTTAGTGACATATACTGTGTATTAATAGTAAAGACTGAATGGAAATGGCACTGAACAGAATGTGTACATAGTCATCAGGACTGGATTTTTTTCAATATAGAAATGTGAAATATACCCAGATTCAGGTTTAAGTGGCTTCAAATTTTTGTGGGTTTATTTTTCTCCATTTTTTTAACATTAAAATATTCCATAAAATTCCACTCATGAGCCACTGTCCTATAGTACAGTATAGTGAAGAATACTGTGGGTCACCTCACTTGTTGGCAAGTTATATCAGTCCTGGGCCCAGCTCCACTCTCTTCATATACCAAATTTCCTCAATACACACAAAGCCTCTGTCTCTCACCCCAGGCATAGTGTTTGTAAGCTTTACTGTACCTGAAGCAAAACAATTGCTCTTTTCAGGAGTTTGACATCCTCAAAGTGAGAGCATAATAGCAACTATAGCAAAAAAATGAACATTAAAGCTGAATGCTGAAAGTCCTGATTGTGCTTCACTGGGTGAAAATAAATAAATACATAGATATGTATATAAATCTCTGTCACCAATACTGAAATCCTTGGTCATACTCAAAGGTCAACTCCTCTTCACACAGAGGCAGCTAGAATATCAACTCAGGCTATGCTGACTAGAACTTTGTCTCCTACTTTCATACCAGGTCAATTATAATTTTAATCCTTACAGTTGATTTGTTCTCATGTTGCATAGCATTACTTGAAGGGGAAAGAAAGCTTACATTTGTTCAATGATCTCAAACAAAGCCAGTAAAGTAGAACACATATACTAAAATAAATAAAATTGAAGAAACTTATTGAATTGCTCACCTTTGGATGTCAATTAGAACTCAAAACCGAGAGAGATCAGCATACACATTTATAGTGAAGTCAATACTTCCTTAATTAGGCTGGGTATGTTTTTTAAACTAGCAATACAGTTGGAATATTGTAGCTTTATCTGTGCTCATATTGCTTTTGGCTTCTGAATTTCTTCGCTAATTTATTTCCCCTTAAAGTGTTTGACTGAGTTTCTTTCTTTACACAAAACATAAGCAGCTTCACTGCCTGGAAAACACAGAGCCTGATTGTTGTTACACCAGTGCAAATCAGCAGTGATGCCACCAGTCTACAGAATTGCATCAACATAAAGATGACGCCAGAGAGATAGTAATCAAAGCCCTTGTTTCAAAGTTAATTTAATTTGTTTTGTTCCAAAAAATAAAAGATGAGTACAGAGCACATTTGTTCTCTTTCTCAACTGAAATGTCAAATAATCATTGCGGTTTTGGCATCTGGTCTGTGTGGGATTTGCACACATGGATCACGTTTCAAAAGCCGGGCCCTAGTCACAACCCACCATGCTAAGGGTCCATTTCCTCAATCCAGTTTTAAGGAAGGGGAGGGCTTTACTCCTCTTCCTTTGCTGCCATTGAGGCTGCTTTTTCCACTGTCCAGAGCCAGTAGCAAACTGCCATCAGCTGTCAGCAGCAGAGCTCCAGCAAGGAACACGTGGCACATTTAAAGCCATTGCCCAGCTTTGATTCACCAAGTCACTCTGCACATTTAGTGCTTCAGATTTTTCCTTGGCAGGAAAGAACATCGTAAGACTTGTAATGTTTTCTCCTCTTTACATAAACAGATGTACTGCTTATGAAAAGGGGATTCTGGTTTGCCTTAGGAGGCTGCTATAGATCACAGCATCCTTAGGACTGTTCTAACTTACAGCAGGTACCTTTGTAACATAAATCACGTGAAGCTGCTTTTCTCTGCAACCCCTATGACTGGTCACTATAGCAATGAATCTTCATGACTGTTTTGCTATCCCTTATGTTTAAAATTCTGGAAGCCAGGTCCTCATTGCAGAGGAGCAGGTGGCAGCCGTCCTTGCCAAAGCATGTTCAGCCACGCATGGCAGCTCGGGCACAGGGGGTGCTGCCAAGGCACCTGGGGAGTGCCACACCGACTGCCACCCGGCTCAGCTGGCACTCTGGGACCTCCCCTGCTGGTAACACACTCCTGCAGCCTCACAGGGGCACCCAAAGCTTCACCTGGTGAAGCTCCAGGTGCTTGTATAACCCTGTCTGGACGATGCTTGTGGGGCATTAGCAGGGATTAATCCTGCACTTCTTACACAAGGCAGAGCCACATGATGGGATTGACATGCCCTGTCCCTCCATCAGCTGTCACTTGAAACTTCTGATGGAGAGGTTTAGAAATTATATCCAAACTGAGGGGTTGTCCTTTTTTGCATTGTTACTCAAACACCTAAAGTACTCAGGGTAGAAGCTACAGCATGTGTTGAAGAGAAAACCCAGAGATTTCCTCACGCTTCCCCAGGGTGAGGGAAGCTATATTTTCAGGGGAAAACACAGTAAATTACAGATGAGAAGAAGCTGCTGAATCTAGACACAACAGTAAAGCAGTGGTGGGCCCCACTGGTGCCCCAAATTCTGCTCTCACCCACAGTTACTAGGAATTGCCAGTGCAGCTGGAGACTCTCAGGGGGGCAGGTGTGCATTTCTTATCTCTGTTGGTGGAAGCCAAACAGCATTTCATCCTTCTCGAGTATTTGTGTGCAGCTCCCAGGCCATGCACCATGCCAGCTATCATAAAGCCAGTCTTTGCTGAAATAGAGGAAAGCATGACTGAACATCTGCCTAGCACATGTAGAAGCTACAGCTCTAAAGGCTGCTGGAAGCTGTATACACATGAAAACACAGTTTGGTTCTAAACTTCCTCCACCTTTGTCTCCAACCCAGCAGGCAGAGCGGGCACTGCTGTCCCAGCTGTCCCCCCCTGTGCACCAGGACAGCCCTGGGGTGACACACATGGTGTCAGCACATTAAGGTTTCATGCCAGAGAACTTCAAGGAGGCTGAACTCACAGAGGAGATCACAGCCAGGTGTGGAACACTGGCTGCTTTATGCACAGGGGTTAGAAAGGCAGTATTTACCTACCGAAATGGCTGGAGTTTAATAATTTATTTTTCATGGCACGTAGAGGTTCTGTTGAGTAATGAGACTCCATTGTGTGCCAAGTGCAGCAGACATAGAGGAGGAAATATTATTTCCATGAAAAGGCTGTATCCTGGAAAGGCAGGGCACAAACACATAAACAGAAAAAGGAGTTGCCAATGGTCATATTTAAAAAAAATTAAATAAACCAATCAGTCATTCATGAATTGGTTTTTTTTTTACTTTTTCACGTACTTTAGAGATTTGTTAAAACTCATTTTCAGTGTAATAACTTTATTAATTAAATAGACAGTAAAGATAAAAATGCCAAAGGAGTAGCTATGTTTCTTGATGTTCACTATGTGGTAGTTTAAGTATTGTCATTGAAAGAAGACAAAAATAGGAAAAAACATTAAGTTTAGCCAGAACACAACCTGCAGAACTAAAGGCAGGAAATGAGGATTCACAGCAATTACCTGTGAAGAGCTTCATGTTTTCAATCATTTGCATTTTATCTGGGAGATAGTTTGAAGTAGCACTTTTTCACTCACTTTGAGTGTCTGTTTTTGCAGACATTACAGTATACTTGTATTTCAATGCATGAAAAGACAGAGGTTAAAAATACCCAAAATACCTGTGTTAGCTGTACTGAAATCAGTGAACCTTAAGGAAAATATGTGTTGCTTGCAATACTCTGTCTTGAACAGCACTTTCCACACGTTTAAATGCAGAAGCACAATTAGAGGGTTTTTAAAAGCTCCACCCTGCCCTAACCTCTCATCACTTGATGGCCTCTCCTTGGCAGCAGTTCCCTTGTCTTCACTTCACTCCAGCTGCCTCTGAGGTCACGTCCAGGTTCTTCTCAATCTAATAAAGAAAATTTGAAATAAGAGAGTAGTGTAAGAGTACAGCTTGCTAATTTACCAAAGATCAGAAAAACTGAAAAGGGATTAGCAAAGGCCATAAAAACCAATGAGGAGTGAAAAATAGATCACTGGAGGAACAGCCCCTTTCCTGTTGTGCTCTGAAGACACACACAGCCTTCAGAGTCTTCCACTGTCTGGTTTTACACTAAAATGCCTTAAAACCTCTGACTTTCCCACCTTTTCAAGTTTGGATTTGTCGTCAGGTGTTAGCAGATTACATGGACCACAAGTCTCCTAAACAGCCTCTTTTGGTTTATATACATTAATTGATCCTCCTGTCAGCCAGAGGGAGATGCATCACCAGCAGGATAATATATAAAGCTAAGTGCTGTCTTGCTAGGGAGTGTAGAATAATATTCTGATTTTTATAGCACCTTCTCCCTAAAGCCCTCAAGGCACTTTACAAGGAAGATTGAATTAAGCTTGTCAGCATTCTGTATGGGAAGTAAATATTTCTTTTCTATGGTGGAGAAGGGAAACTGAGGCATTGATATTAAGTCCCCAGCAAAGGATTTAGCTTCATGCTTTCCAGCCCCTTAAACTTCTCACATGATTTAATTAAGCACATACTCAAGTGTTTTGCTGGAATAGTGCCGAAGAAAAATGCTACAACCACACTGCCAATTCAGACTGCAGCTGAGAAAACACCCTGGGTTCCCCATCACTCATTCTGGAACAAGAACTTTTTTTAGATATGCTGTTTTTCCTAAAACTAAGACCACATTTTTGAGTTCCACCTACATGGTGTTGCTGCGTGAGCCTGGATGAGTCCTGGGACAGGACATCCCAGGAGGCTGTAGAGTCTCAAACCTGCTCTCTGGTGTCTCCTCAGTGCTGCCTTACCTCTGATCAGACAGATGTGCCTTTCCATCTCCAGTTTGGCTGTTGAAGGGACAAACAAGACCTTTGGTTCTCCTTAGGGCTGGAACTCAGCTGGAGGGCCTGCAGCATCTCCTTGGGGAGCAGCGTGGGTATGGAGCAGCACTCCATACCCAGCACCACAGAGCTTCTGGGCTGAAACCCTTAAAAAACTGGCAGCAAACCTACACCAGGTAATGCTCTATCTGTTCTCCCTTCCCTAAAGGATCTAATGGCTAACTGCAGGAGCCTGGGGGGTTGTGGAGCTGCAGAGTTTACAGCTGTGTCTTCATCTCAGATGCTGTCACTCTTCCTCATCATGCCAATGACCACACTAAGAGCCAAATAAAGGGAACTTGTTTCTGTCCCTTATTGCACATGACTTCCTGCAATTTAGTGTTTGCCAAGTGAGGCACAATGTAAAAAAATTAGTGAAACATGAGAAACGAGCAATCTAAAGTACTTCTGAGGTCAAGTGCTTTGGAAATGACGGGTTATATAACTCTTCAGGGATTTAAAATCGGGTTTTATGCACATCCTCATACCAATGACCCCATATAAGCAAGCCTGACATCAAAACAACCCTTTAAAATGAATACATAGATAATACATCATTACTAACATTATATACACTCTAATTAAAGAGATAAGGAACATATAATTTCTGTTAGAGGTGAATGAGCTAATTACTCTAGGTAGGCCTCCTTCAGAAGTAAGTGACACTGAAAAAGCTGCCAACACCCAGCCGATGCAAAGCCCACTAAAATTAGTTGAAAGACTGATGGGTCACAGTCAGCTTTGCTCTGGCCACTAATTTCTCCCTCCAGATGTTCATGGAAACCTCCATCAACCTAAGAAAACTATTATTAACCCCAAATGTTAATGTCATTCAATAAACTCTCAAATATCACTGCACTGATTTACAATCAAAAAGAGTTGCAGTTGATAGAATTTGGCATGTCTAATGTGCCTTCTGGTTCTGCAGTTTTTAAGGATGAAAAACATTAAGGATAATGTTTTTTTTTGACTTTCATTGTTCAGAGCAGCATTCCAAGTGAAAGTTACAGTTCTCCCTCTGGCCAGTGAGGCTTTAGGGAAAGGACAGATTTTGTGAGACTTCTGATAAAACTGGAAGCAGGCAGTCACCAAAATTTGAAGGCAAGTTGCTCCTTTGAGCAACCAAAAAATGATTTCAATGGAGAGGACAGGTTTGGGAACAGATCAGGGGCTGGGGTCAGCCCAGCACCTCATGGGATTGCTCTTCAGCCAGGCTTGTACTTTACAGCCTTTGAAACCCCTATGAACAGAATATTTGGTCACCATTAGGGATGTAAACTCATTGCAAAAGGTTCCACATCTGCATCAGAGCAGTTCAGCTCATACCAGCTGTGCTCTGCGGTAGAAGCCTGCCAAAATGCCTGATGTACAGCCAGCCCTTTTCCTGAGCTGGCTGGCAGGGCTGGGCCCGGCGTTACAGCCCCTCCCTGGCATCTCCCACTTGTGGATCCCCTCCTGTGTGAGCCGTGCCCGGGGATGGCTGCCCTGCCTGCCCTCCCGGCCAGCACTGCCATCCCTCCACACAGCCCCCGGCCCCTGCAAAGTGTGAGCATTAAACTGGGAAGCAAGGGTGGGAAACAGCCCTGGAGCAGGGTCTCCTGGATGGAAACACACCTTCCAAGCAGGGTCCTGTCTCCCAGCATGGTCACTGCCTTCTCTGAGCAATGGCTTTGGCAGCATCTGCAGCCTGCCTGCAAGGGGCAGGCGGGAGCCCAGCACTTTGTGTTTGTTGCCCATGTGCCAAGGGCCTGATCCACAGCCCAGCAGAGCCATGGCAGCTCCCTGGGCCCAGAGACTCCTTCTGCCTAACTCCATGAACCAGGCCCCAGTGTCTAATTTCTCATCCACTCTGGGTATTTGTGCTTTCACCTGCTGCCTTTGCTGATTTTGCCTTCATCATTACCTGCACCTCTTCATCTGCATGTTTCTGTTCAAAATGCATATGCAGAATTTCCTTGCACCTTTGGAAAGCACAGGGGCAAGGGCTGCACATGGCTTTTCCTTCTTGTGTAAAGGAATACTTTCAGCCACATTTGTCCTTGGGGCTTTCATTCAGAGTATTTTCTGAGTGGATTTCTTATCTTGTTTACAAACTTTGGGACTCCAGTGATCCAGACAAACTGGGTAACTGAAGTGACTCCTGCTGGTAGCTCCACACTGCATGTAATCCTCCAAGGACAAGGGGACAGATCAGCAGAAACCTGTGATTTATAACCTTTCATCAGGGAAGGTAACCTTGGCTCTCAGCAGAGGCCCCGAGGAACACCCCAGGCTGTGATGAGCAGAAAATGAGCCCAGGGTTTGGGGTGCTGGCTCTTCATAGCGACACTAACCCCCCTGCACTCCCTCATGCATTAGCATTTCTACAGAACTCTGTGCTTCTACTTTATCCAGCCCTTCCCAGGAGTGCCTGGCCCCACAGCTCAGGTGTGTGCTGGGCAGGTGCCCAGGGCTGCTCCCAGCCCCTGCAGCCCCGCAGAGCAGCCCCAGCACCCTGGGGTGTCTGTGCACCCCCAGCACGGCCAGGCTGTGCTGGGAGCTGGCCCTTCCCAGGCTGTGAGCTCAGCACTGGGAGTGGCTGCTGTTTTCCAAAGCAAATCACAACAGCTCGCTTTCTATTTCCAGTGACTGCTAAGAATATGACAAATTTTCTCTTATTCCTACAAATCCAGCAAACACATGGTCTTTCACTACCATAAAGAGTAAAAAAACGCCCAATTCGGGACTTAAATTAGATCCAGGAAACCTCTGCTGTCTTTTCCTGTCTAAAAAACATTTTTAAAATAAATTTAATGTGGCTTTACAGTCCCAAACTGCAGCCCTAGACCTGTCATTAGAAGTGTCAACTTTCATGTAGGTTTGTTTAAAGGGGAATTACTGAAGTTATTTGTATTTTAGTGATATACCTAACTGGGGCCAGGGTTTGTCCAGATGGGCGCAAGTGGAAGGGTTGCAGTGAGCAAGCAGGAGGGCTCCCTGTGGGCAGAGCTCTGTGCCTGCCCAAGGGAAGAGCAGGGAGCAGCAGCCTCAGCAGCACAGCCCTGAGTGCTGTCTGATCTGCTCCATTTGGGTGGGAGACAGCCATGGGGCACAGCCCCAGTTCTGCAGCCTGGGGGCTGCTACATCATCCTCCTCCTCATATTTAATTCCTTTCTGTTGGTGGTGTGTGAACATTTTTCCCAGATGAATTTAGAAGGTGGTCAGTGGGCTGGGGAAGCTTCAGGGCTTCACTCTCCCACTACATTGGCAAACTTTCACAGGTCACTCGGCAAAAATCTGCTTTGCTGAAATAGATGATGCCTCACCCCTGATTTGAGCAACTGGAAACCTCTGCAAAATTACATCTGCTCAACCTGAGCCTGAAATAACACTGCAGTCTGTTCTGCCTGCTTTTGTGGTCCTGCAAATGATTTAATATTTTGCCAATGCAGTAAATCAGAAAACCTTCCTACTGTGCAAGTTCATCCAAACTGCTGCTCACCTGACAGCAGGTCTTATTCTCATTCTTAGCCCTTTGCAAACCAGTGATTTGCTTGGAACATTTTCCCAATACTCTCTTAGATATTTTAATTACTTTATTTGATACTAAATCTGTTTTACAAGTGATTGGGAAAGAAGAATTAAGCAACAGTATCCAAAATCCATATTAAAATTGCAACCTCCCTTGTAGTGTCTGAAGCATTTGTGGACAACTGAAGGTTTTCAGAGCCTGCATAGCAGCATGTGCTCATTCCTACATGGAATTTCCCTAATTCCTCAATCAATTACCTGGGAAAAGCGGCCATTTTAATCAAAACCCTAAGGGTAGATGAAATCATGAGAAAACACGAGCTTTATTGCAATGGATATTGACTGTAACTCATTAAGATGTTAAAGTATTGACATCCCGTTTGATGAGAAAAATGTCTGATAGCGAGTGTACATAACTGTGTTACAGAGAATGCCAGCATCAACACATCATAATGAGTAACTAATGATGTCTGTGGCCTAACGAGGTGATTAAAGCAGTATCCTTTGATCTATGTCACTGACTTGATTTAATGCCAGGCTGAGATTGAATCTCCCTGCACCACTGGGGAGAGTCAAGTAATTTGAGTAATTCACTCGCCCTGTGCCTGCACCACCAGGGCTGTTTGTGATGAACACAGCACTGCTGGGGCTCAGTCACCCCGGGCACTGCCAGGGAGGAGGGCCCTGCTCCCTGCCAGCCCCTTGCAGGAGCCTCACACAACCTCTTGCCATGGCCACGAGTCTTCCTTGTGCCTCACAGTGCTCTCACACCCCTGGCAGATTTTGGGAGCGTCCTCCACCAAGCGAAGCTCAAGATGCTCTGCTACCCTTCACCAAGCACAGCAGGAGGAGTCACGCTGTGCTGAGACACAGGGCTTTGTGCCAGGCACGTGCTGAGCATCTGTTCAAGCCATGCTGTGCTTGTCCAGCAGGACGGAAGCTCAGGTACCTGTTCTTGGGACAGCAAACAGCGTGCCAAGAGCCCAGGCCACAGGTGGCACAAAACCTTTGACCAGGTTCACAGAGTGGTGGAGCCTGGCTGCCAGCCAAGAGCCTGCTCCCAGCAGTGAAAATCCTTCTCACCCTAACCAGGGGAGGGGATTGTTAACCCTGTCACACGCAGCACAGCAGCTCCTTCCAGCAGCCCCTCCTGCCTGTGTCGACAGACCTTGGCTGGGCAGTGTTGCCCTGGGGAGAGAGTTGTAAAATCTGGGATTGTGTTTTCTTCATGAGGCTACCAAAACAAAAGCATGGCCACCCTCAGCCAGGCCAAGGGTTCATTCCTGTGATATGAGGATAACTGTGTGCCCAGGGCAGAGCACACAGACTGGGCTGGCATTCCTTGGTACTCTCTCTGCTGCCAACCACTTTCAGCTGATATTTTGAGCAATGTTTGGTTTATGCATTAGCAGCTACTGTGGATTCATCTCCACTAGCTGCTTATACTTTGCATTGCAGTACTTCTTCCTAGTGAAGCCAATAACAGGGATTAATTTTCCCTCCCAATCATCTTTAACCTTAAGTGATAATTAGTACTGAAATCATTACTGAGAC